ATGATATCTTATAATTCAATAATTGTAACTGCATTTTCTATCTCTTGATCTAATAACTATAATTTAATGTATAATCTTCCTCTGCAATTATAAATTTATAGATTATTTGATAATTCATCAAAACTTAAAATTTGTTAGATTATTATTATTACTATTTTAAGCTCATTATGTATTTCTACTATTACTAAAATTCTACTAACTCTTATTATTATTTCTTTATAAACTATAAAATCTCCATATTTATATATTGCTAAATTAAATAATAATATTATTTTAATAGTAAAATAAAATGTTTTAATAAATATTATTTATATAAAAACTTTATAATAATATTTTAATAATTATAATATACCTCTATTAATTTGAATAAATGCACATCCAAATTGCAGTGATTTCTTCCATAAATTTCCATGCCAAAGTTTTAGATTTTTTTGACTATTTGACTAAGATTAAAATACTTTTGGCTAAATAGTTAAGGATTATTAAGAGAATATTAAATGATATTTGTAATAAATAAATAATATATCCTTTGTTTCTTTAGAAGTTGATGAGGTTTTTTACTTGAAATATGTACTTTATATAATCTAATAAAAAGTAAGGCTAATCTTTATTAATACTTTTCTAAACCTACAAATATTTATTATAATATTATTACTTTCAAATTGTGAATAATAAATTATATCAACCAATTCATCATAAGTTTGAGTAGCTATTGAGAAATATAAAAGTTTTAGTATTTTATCTATAATAACATTAATAATAAAACCTTACTTATATTATATTTTAAATCTAGCAAAATATCAATGCTTCAGTAATATTTTACAAATATAAAGCAAAATCTCTATTAATAAATAACATTTATTCATTATTTAAGCCTTCATTAACAATTTCATCTAAAGTATTATTTGACACTTTTTCACTAGATTTTTCAATCAATATTTCATTATCAAAATTAAATAATTCTTTATTATAATTTAAAAAGTCTTCATTTGAGTCTTTATTATCAGTACCTATATTAATTGGTAATTTATAATCCATTTTATAATTATTTGCTTATTATCTTGTATTTAAGTTTATTTACTTTAGACTAATAATTTGATATCTGCAACTTTTTATTTAACAAATTTATAATAAATATATTAATAGTTATTATTATAATTCATTATATAATGTAATATATTTACTATTAATTTTAAGATTCCTTTCATTATTTTTAATATTTAATAATTTATTACATAGATATCTTATATAATTTTATCAATAATTATAAA